ATTAAAATATATTATACGTGTAAAATATAATATATATAAGAGATATACAAAGTTTTATTTAAATTCATTCTGTATAAATATATTGAAGTTTATTTAGATTGTTTCACTCTCACATTCAGTTGCGAAATAATAGCCGGTGACGCGAGACAGCTTCTGCGTAAAATTGCCGGTTAACAATGTGTCAACTATGTAGCCAATTGTTACCGCTAACTTTGCTCGGCTGTTGTTGATAGATTGATCTCCAGAGGAATTTCATGGTATTTATTGAACGCGTGTGGCACGCCTACGCTCTGCAGTCACTTACAACTTGTATATTCTATATTTCTACTTGTATATTACGACGTTGCTATGGTAGAACACAGAAGTAGGATACAGAGGTTGAGATTTGTATTATGTAACCACGTGATTGCAATTGATGTCAATATCTAAATATCTCTCGTTAAAGACATCTGCGCGTTTAATTTTTTTTTGAAGAAAAGAACTGAGTCAATTACGATTAAACCGCGTATAAATTTACACTTTCAACAAACGGCGATATAATAGCATAGTAGCTGAATTATTCTGATAGCATTCAATTACTTGTATATATAAGGCATATCGGCTGTTTATTTCGATTTTTATCGCGACGCATGATTTACTTATCATTATTGATGTAGTCAATCTGCAACGCTGTATCAGTGTTTCTAAACGGAACGATCGTTTTAAATTAAAATAAAATTCAAAACAACTTCGAATCAAAGATTCACAGTCACATCAAATAGATGTAACGTACGATTTCAGATTTTTAATCGTTTTGTGATATTGTCATAATCATAATCTCAACTCATAATCGTATATATATTGTTATACATATATAATTTATATATGTATAATTATATATAATATATATATATATTTTTTTATACATATAATATATATAATTATATATAATATATATATAATTTGTTATATAATTTTTTTAAGGAAAACAAATTGCAAATTTAAGTTGATGACGTCGTGAGAAAACTGGATGTCAAATGAATGAGCGTATTGTCATGACTTTTTGGACCATGATCAAAAAAGAGAAAGATGTAGGTCATGTACGCTGATAGTGCGGTCGCTTCCAACGTATATGTATACGTATCTGTATACATCTCTATACATACATAGTACACAGAAGCTCGTTCATTATGACACATTCACAAGGTCGTATCACATCCTTGCCACTGGTGAATAACATGGTAGAAGAATATATTATACGACTGTGTACGTACCGCGGACACGGTGTTACACGCTGGCATGCAGACAATGCTGATGCATCCAGCGCGAATGACAATTGAGATAGATGCATTGACCGTGACCGGAGATATACGCTATGAAGCAATGCTTTCTTTTCTGTTTCTTCTCCGATTTCTATTGTTCCGGTGAAGATGAAACGCAAACAGATCACCGAGATCAAAATATTGTTTTCCTTCTTTTTCTTTCACTTGTTCGTCTGGTTTCTTTCTGATGTAGATGACCTTCAAATATTAATACTGAAAAACAGTTTTCTCATGACGTGTGTTCGCACTTAGTTTTCGAAATGATTCACAAACATCGGTACTAGCGCTATATATTTACGACGCACACAAGCCCATCTGACACGTTCGTTCATGTATGACACACACATGCACGTGTTCAAAAAAAAGGTAGAGGTAGGTTATATCATCTGTCGGTACATACATACCGACAGCACAGACGAGTCACAGACGAGAAATATGAATAGACCAAGCATCCTACGGAGTTTCGTGGCCCGTGACCTGAAATACCGACATAATAAAAAATGACTGGTTTTTTAGCGCTGTCTACGTTTAAATAACGGTGAGTTGGGGAACTAGTGAATGTGCCAGCAATATGATTTTTTGTTCATTACAGTGTTGTCAAACTTTCAATATCG